AAAGAGCCCGGTCTTAAGCTTGTGGTATTCTCACAGCTCAAGAAGTTGAAGAAGAGGTCTAGTCTTTGCATGACTTGCCAGAGATCTTTTACCTATCATTTTATTATTTTCTAACTTCTTTCCTTTTTCGGTCTGTGCTGATTATCATAATACACTTCTTGTGATTATTCCTACTCCACTCGCAATAGAAGAGAACCCTTCCTTTTATTTATCTTAAAACAACCTCTCTCTTGCTCTAGAAATTACCTGTGGTTTGAGTATTTAGAGAATTTAGGGGGGGAAAGACTGTATTTAACTTAGCCAAACTCTTTTTTTTTTTTAAACTTAGCCAAACTCTTCATGTTTTTCCACATCATGAAAGTCTTTGTGTTGAAGTGAAAAGAGCATTGAACTTGGAATCCAGTGGATCTCACCACCCAGCTGTGTGGGCTTTGGCAAGGTATTTAACTTCTCTGAATATGTCTCTTATCTGGATGTCATCATGAAGCATTGTGAGAATTATGCAAAAAATAAGTAAGCATTTATTGAACCTGAGTTGAAACTGAATATTTCTGCCTCCTTTTCAGACTGAAGAGCCCGCATCTGTTTGTTTAGTTCTCAAAGGCTGGTATCCCACCTGGCTGAGACATTGCCTGTCTCTGGAGCTTTTCTAGTCCAAGGAGGCCTTCCAAAGCGTAGACTTTCAGCTGTGGACACCACAGGTTTGACCCAGGGTAGGATCATTCATTCAACAAAAACTGAGTACCTTGGTGTGTGCCAGGAACTGAGTTTGACACTTCATTCATTCATTACCAAAAAAAAAAAAAATTATTGAGTGCCTACCATGTATGTTACATGGATTATCCCTAACACTCATCACAATTCTGCAAAGTACGTATTGCAACTTCCATTTCACAGAGGGGAAGAGGTGTTAAGAAGAGACAAATGATAAACAGCCATGTGTTTGTGAAAGACAGGTGCTGCTGCCTCTGTTTAGACCAGTGGTTCTCAACCTTGGCTGCACATTAGAATCACCTGGGAATCTTTTTAAAATCCTGATTTCTGGGCCTCATCCTCCGGAAATTCTGTTTCTTTGTTATGGGGTGGGGCCACAGCATTAGTAACTGGCTTAGACCCTTCCCCTAGTTCCCTCCCTCACAAACTTCTACTCCTCTTAACAATCAACCAAAGCATCACCTCCTTTGTGAAGCCTTCTTTGATTCTTTCAGGCAAACTTAAGTTCTTCTACCTCTCTGTTCACTTGGCCTTTGATCCTTCTTATCCTTACACTAGAGGCCCGGTGCACGAAATTTGTGCACAGGTAGAGTCCCTAGGCCTGGCTGGCGATCAGGGCCGATTGGGGCCTTCCAGCTGCTGGCTGGGGCCTTCCTTCATTCTGTGCCACTCCCTGGTGGTCAGTGCACATCATAGCGAGCGATCGAACTCCTGGTCTCCCAGTTGAACTCCCGAGGGGACAATGCTTGTTAGGCTTTTATATATAAAGATAGTGTTGTTGTTGATTTGCTTGTCTGTTTTTTCTAGATGCAATGTCCACTCTCTCCCTTTATCTGGAGAAGAAGGGAAAGATTAGGAATGTGATTGTGAGCAGAAGTTCAGATATCTGAATTCAAAGAGCATATTTGGTTAAGGGGTAAGGGGTTCTTGTCAAGTAATAATAGGGGTTATAGAACTGGAGGATTTAAAACCAAGGATTTGGACTTGATACTGGAGTTAATAGGAGTCATTGAAAGTTTCTGAGCAGATGAATTATATATATTCTACTTTCATTTCAGAAAGAATTGTCTAGGTATAGAATAGATAGTGTCTGAAAACTTGGCAGCCCATAGGAAACTATTACACGGTACAGGTGAAGACAATGAGAACCCAAACCGTCAGATAGTTATAGTAATGAAACACTTTAAGAGCAGATGGGGAAACATTAGGAAGAACTGACCAACAGGAATAGCTCATTTAATGGGAAAAGACTTATTCCTATATCCTCAGCTCAGGGAGTGGCCAAGGACTGATGGTGACCATCAGAAGCCAGGGAAAGGCAAGAAGGGTTCCACCTGGAGTCTCAGAAGGAGTGTGGCCCTGCCAGCACCTTGATTTTGAACGTCTGGCCTCCCAAACAGTGAAACAATACAATTTACAGTACTGTGTTACAGCAGCCCTCACACACAACCAGTGTGCATTCGTGTATATTTATTTTATACCTTATTTAGTCCAATACTGTTTCTTTTATTGCACAATTTTTTTTCAGCTTTGACCACTGGGAGCTCTTTCAGATTGGTTCCCATACCTCTCTGATATGCTTCCATCCTTTTGATTGCTTCCTTACTTTCTGATTCTACAAGACGCTCCAACTTCTCTTGTTTTTCCCTGCCTCCAGCCTAGAAGCAGCTGTTTCTGGAAGAGGTTCTGTTTCCTTGTATTGGAGAATGATGTTTGGAAACCAAGATCTAGAATCTAGGAGCACTCACTGCTGTTGGGATGTCATTGCTTCTAGGCCCTCTTAGTGAACAGAGTTAGGTAATATAAGTCTGTGTGCTAACCCATGTAGATACACATAGCTATACTTTACCTTCATATCTGTTACACAAAGGGTGTCCCTCCTGAGACGCCCTCCACCTTCCACTCTCTTCCACCATATTCGTTTCTTCTCCCAAACTCTGTTGTAAACGCCTGTTCTCCAGGAAGCCCTCTTTGATTTATCCTGGGGCCTATTGAACCCTGAACACACTCTGGGCCTTTTCGCAGCTCTGGCAGGAGCTTTTAGCAAACTCCTCTCACACAGAGGCCAGCAGATTCCCAGGGGTTTGCACCTTGGCGCACACTCCATCCTGAGTGCCCACTATGTGCTTCAGATCCCTGCTCTGGATGCTGAGGTGGAGGCCTTCCCAAAGGGAAGAGAAGCAAATTCATGAGTCTCAGTCTGCAAGAAAGAGCCTGGTCAGATCCCAGCTCTGACAGCATACAGCTCTCGACTTCCATGCCGGAGGGCAGGGGAGAGGGGAAGTGCAATGTTGAGGTGGTGGGTGATTCTGGATTGTACAACCCAGTTTAGACTGCAGGGAGGGACCATGCTGGGCAGGTGGGAGCATTAAACAGGGGAAATCTCTATGGGTGGTGGTAATGGCAGAGATGTGGCAAGGGGTAAGGGGGAGTTTAAGAAGGGAGTATTGCCCTAACCAGTTTGGCTCAGTGGATAGAGCATCGGCCTGCAGACTGAAGGGTCCCAGGTTCGATTCCAGTCAGGGGCATGTACCTTGGCTGCAGGCACATCCCCAGTAGGGGGTGTGCAGGAGGCAGCTGATCAGATGTTTCTAACTCTCTGTCTCTCTCCCTTCCTCTCTGTAAAACATCAATAAAATATATTTTTTTAAAATAAGAAGATAGTGCAATGAATAGCTCATTGGACAAGAAGAAGAAGAAGGAGGAGGAGGAGGGAGTATTGAGAAGAGAGTGGTGTATGTGAGAGGCTAGAATATTGGGCTTTTCTGCAATATAACTCACAAAGGAGGAGCCCAAACAATAAAAAATAAAAATAAACCACACACTGGGAGCCTGCAGGGAGCACAGCCATGTCCTCCCCATCCCAGCCTCCCACAGGCCTTTCTGTCTTACTCAGGAGCAGGCAGCTGGAGCCCAGGAGAAAAGCCCTGGCTAGAGCCACGTGCAGGGCAAACTAGAGCGATACAGGTTTGGGGACAAGACAAAGCTCTGCACCCTGGGGTCAGAGCCTGGGGCAGGAGGTCACAGAGCCTCTGCAGAGTGGAAGAGAGCTGCCTCCTCCTGCCTCCTCCGCTCCCCCAAGCCCACTTCCCTACCTGGCCAACTGCACCAGTGTCTCAGGGCTGCTGGAAGACCCTACTCCCCAAATGCGGGTTCTAGGCACCCAGGGTAGGCCTGGGGGGCAGTGCTGAGAGTGAGGTTCTTTTATATTTTCCTAAAAGTTCAGGAAGCCCTGGCATTCTTGCTTGGAGGCCCAGAATTTAAATTTAGTCACTGCCCAGAGCCCCTGTTTTAGGAAAGAATGAGATGGCTGTTGCATAATCCAAAGCCAGGAGGGTGTGGGTTGCTGAAGGAACCGGTCCCTCTTCCTCCCTCTAGGAAGGAAGGCTGGGCTAGGAGTGCTGGGGATGGGCGGGGCCTGGGGGAGGGCAGCGGTGGGCGGGGAGACACCCTGGGCATAGCACTGCTGAAGAGTCCACGTAACCCACTGGTTGACACTGGGTGGAGATGGAGTGGGGGACAGGTTCTGGGAAAGTAGGGGAATGGAGGACGGGCTGCCTTGAATGAGGGGAGGGAGGGTGGTGGTGGTGGGGTGTCCACCTTTCTGGCCAGTGTTCCCAAGAGCACCCAGAGTGTGGGTTCCTATAACTTTTGCCTCCCCCCACCCCCATAATTTCAAATGGCCAATCCCGCCCCCACCTCCCAGGTGTTCAGCCAGCTCTCACCCTGCACACTTGCCCCTCTGCAATCATTCCAGACTCCCTTGGCCCCACCACATTATTAGGGTTTCTGACAGTTTGTTTAAGGAGTGCCTCCCCACCGCCCCCTTGCCTCCCAAACCCCTCTCTCGCCGTAGCCCAACTGGCCCCCTGACACGTTTCCGCAGGTGCATTTCAGGGCGAGTTTCCCTGGCCCCTTCCCACGGGTGTCTGCCTCTTTGCCCTTCATCTGCTGTCTCCCATCAGCAGTGGTGCTTACCCTTTCTCTTTCCATCCACCCCATCCCTCTGATGACCCCCAGGCCCATCCCTCCTCCCTCCACTTTTAGACCAGGAGCCTCTGGTCCCCTGCTTCCCCAGCACCCACACGCTAACTGGATTTCAGGTTTTCCCTTCTTCCCAACTGCCGGCCTCTCCTCCTTTCACCCCTCCCCGTCCTCCAGGCCCTCGAGCCAACAGTCCCTCTTCCAAATTCTGGGCGAGATTCCCGGAACAAAGCAAGAAAAATCAGAGTAATTTGGGGAGTAAACAGAAGTTGGGAAGGGGGCCGGGAAGAAGAGTGGGGAGGACCAGGTGGGGTGGGGGGAGCCTCTCCAGTCCCACCCAGTTTAGGGAATGCCTCTGCCTCCTCCCCGCTTACCCCCCTTCACCTGGCTCTTAAAGGGCTCGGCTATTTAAGGCCGAGGGGCGGCAGCAGGCAGCAGCTGCGCTACGACTGCTCTGGGAGGAGAGAACGGGGCAAAAACCCTGACCATGACCCCGCACAGGCTGCTGCCGCCCCTGCTGCTAACTCTGCTGCTCGCTGCCCGCCCGGGAGGCGCCTTGGCCCGGTGCCCAGGCTGCGGGCAGGGGGCGCAGGCGGGTTGTCCAGGGGGCTGCGCGACGGAGGAGGGTGCGGGGCAGCCCTCAGAGGGATGTGCGGAGGCTGGGGGCTGCCTCAGGAGGGAGGGGCAGCAGTGCGGGGTCTACACCCCTAACTGCGCCCCAGGACTGCAGTGTCAGCAGCCGGAGGAAGACCAGGCGCCCACTGAGACCCGCTTCTCCGCGGCCAGGATCCTGGGGAGGTGGGCGCGGGCAGCCCTGCCAGCCTCTGGGTCCTGCCCCTGACGCTTCTCCCCTCACCCCAGCCCTGGAGGGACACGGTAGAGGGGGAAGGGGGAAGTGCGGGAGGCAGCTGGAAGCCGGGGGGCAGCTAGGGCCGCGGGGGTGTCTGACCCTTCTCTCACTTTCTCTTGAGGGGAAAGAGATGGAGAGGTGGAAGGGTTTATGGCCATAGCGGCCCAGCCCCTTCAGCCCTAGACCCCCAAGTTGGAGAAGGGACCCAGATGTCCTCAGCTTCCACTTGGAAAAAGAGGGACTGGAACACCAGACTCCCAAATCCTGCACACCCTGAGAAACAGCCCCCCTCTCCTTTCACTATCGGGGTGTCCAAAGCACCTGAACAGGAGGCTAAGAACGGAAGGTGCCCTCCATCCAGAGTTGTTTCAGACCATCACAGGGTCAGAGAGTAGGTGCTGGGGTCCTGGCGGTGGGGACTCGAGGTGGGGAAAGAAGGAACCTATCAAAGCAGGGTTATGGTTTAAAGCTGCCACCCAGCCTACTCCAGAGTGGAGAATAGAAGGCTGAGACAGGGCGCCGGCACAACAGAAGTGAGTCAGAGCCTGAAAGATGGGGGTTGGGGGGGAGCAGGGAAATGGGGAGGGCAGGAAATACAAACGTCCCCCACCCCAGGGGCACCGGAGTTCCTGGTTTCTTCCATGGGAAGGGCTGGAAAATTAACGTGGAGCTGGTTTCAATCCCAGATGCATGCGTCCAGGCTGCTACAGGTCCTCCTGAAACGGGTGGGTCAGAGGAGGCAGTAGGAGCAAAGTCGTGATAGGGTGTTAAAACGGAAGAAATGAGGGGCCAGGGCCGAGGAGTGTGGAGGAAGGAGCATCAGATTTGGGACTGCAGATGAAGTGACTCCAGCTGTAAGTAGTAAGCAGATGAGGGCTCTATCTATGCTTAGGGGCTGGGCACTTAAGCAGAGCTTGCTTTGGGCACGGAGAGATAGTCTTTTCAGGGGTCATAATAATTTTACAGCTGAGTGGATTCCAAGAAATTCATGCTCCCCTTCCTGCCTTTCCTTCATCTTGATGCCCTGACTTCTTTCTTTTTTAAAAAATATTTTTATTGATTTCAGAGAGGAAGGGAGAAGGAGAGAGAGATAGAAACATCAATGATGAGAAAGAATCATTGAAAGGCTGCCTCCTGCACACCCCTACTGGGGATTGAGCCTGCAACCCAGGCATGTGCCCTTGATCAGAATTGAACCCAGGACCCTTCAGTCTGCAGGCCGACACTCTGTGCGCTGAGCCAAACCAGCTAGGGCCTGACTTATTTCTTCATCTTGTTCCATCCTGAATGTGAAACTTCCCCAGAGCCAGAAGCGACCTGCAGGTTGGAAGCCCCTCATTCCGGCACTTTTGCAACCTGCCCTCTGCCGGTCTAGGTTGACGAATCTCACGTGTTCCTGGGAACACTAGGGTTGAGCTGGGCTGAGCCACAGGGGACCAGAAGGGTGAGACCCCTACCGTCCCAAAAGTAGCCACATCGCAGGTTTGGAAGCGGCGTGCTGAGTCACAACAGGGTCACAGCAGGGACACACATTCCGCTTGGTTGCTGCTGACCCCTCCCATTGCTTTTCTGCCCCATCTCCCTGGTTTAGTGCACCCCCTGCTGGCCTCTGGTGGAACAGACAGGTCTTTCACCCCAAACCCAAGGCCTCCCAATATACAGTAGTCCCCCTTATCCGCTGGAGAAGACGTTCCAAGACCCCAACCGAGGTTAATACCAATCCCTAATCAATGCCTTTGGCTCTGCCAGAAATGTGGCAGCAGATCTACACCAGCAGATGCAGCCTCTCCAATAATTTTTATATTTTTTTCAGTCCAAACCTATTCCTGAATCTGTGTAACCATCTCTTACCTGCAGTAAATGTCTTGATGTTCCTTGTTTCAGGGGATCACTTGCTTAGGTCTTCGTATAGGCTCACTGTTATATGTCACAACGCATTGCCGTCAGTTGGAACATGTTTTCTGTTTGTGTCTTTTACTGACAAATTTAATATCTTCTCCCTCTTAACTAAGCACTTAGTGTGGCCATAACTTTTCCAGTTTGAGGTGTGACAGCAAAACTAGCATGACTTTGTTTTTTTAAGGTGTTTTCATTGATTTTTTTTTTTTTGAGAGAGAGAGAGAAAGGAGAGGGAGAGAGATAGAAACATTGATGAGAGAGAAACATCCATTGGCTGCCTCCTGCACGCTCCATACTGGGGATTGAGCTCACAAATCAGGTATGTGCCCTGACTAGGAATTAAACCGATGACTTCTTAGTGCGTGGGATGATATTGAGCCCCACTGGCTGGGCTAGCATGGATTTCTTATTCCTTCTGCACAATTTCATGGAAAGAAGATTTGTTTTATTGTAGATCTTAGCAACCTCACTATATGATTTAAAAAAAATTTTTGTATTGATTTCAGAGAGGAAGGGAGGAGGAAAGAGATAGAAACATCAATGATGAGAAAGAATCATTGATCAGCTGCCTCCTGCATGTCCTGTACTGAGGATTGAGTTGAAACCCAGGCATGTGCCCTGACCTGGAATCTAACCGTGACCTCCTAGTTCATAGGTTGACACTTAACCACTGAGCACCCCAGCTGGGCCACCATACGATTTTTATTCTTTCCTTATTAAGTGGAGAACTTTCATCTTTTCACTTAAAGGCAGCACTTTTTGGCTCCTTTGGCATATCTGAGTTGCCAGCATCACTACTCTTGCACTTTAGGGCCATTAATAAGTAAAATAAGGGTTTTGAACACAAGGACTGAGATACCATGACTATCAGTCTGATAACAGAAATGGCTAATTAGTGACTAATGAATGGGGAGCATATACAGCATAGAGTCACTGGACAATTGCCTGATTCACATCCCAGGCAGGAGGGAGCAAGAGGGCGAGAGATTTCATCACACTATTCATAATTTAAAACTTACGAATTGTTTATTTCTGGAATTTTTTATTTAGTATTTTCAGACTATGGTTGACTGCAGGTAACTAAACCCACAGAAAGCGAAACCACAGATAAGGGGAAACTATTGTATTTGTTCATGATTTTTGCTTTCCAAAGTGTTCTCCCTTCTAAGCCTTGTCAGGAAATGTGATAATACCATTTGCCAGGGAAAGAAGCTGAGGCCAGGAGAAGATAAGGGTGGAGCCAGATTCTAACCCCCCTTCACCTCTACGGCTCCAAAAGCCCCTCTTTCTCCCACTTCCGTGAGTAGGGGGTGAACAAGGCTCTTTCCCACGTGGCGCCGGCCTTTGACATCTGGCTGATTTCTGGCCTTTTCTTCCCCCATCTTCTTTTGGCCGTAGGGGGGAACCCTAGGGAGAGTAAACCCCAAGTGGGGACCACTCGCCAACAGGACACGAACCGCAGAGACCAACAAAGGAACCTGGGGACCTCTACCACTCCGGCCAGGCCCAATCCTGGGGGTGTCCAAGACACTGAGATGGTGCGTGTGGGGCTGGCAGGGAGCAGGAGGGGATGGGGAGCCCTGAGGACGTCCATGTGGGACTGCTTCCTGGGGCTCAGAGAAGTCTCCAGGTTAACCCTGGTAGCCTGGCTGGTGGGGCCCAGGGACTGTGCCGTGGAGCTCAGCTGGTTCTAAGCTGCTTGCTCTCCCTTCTCCCAGGGCCCATGCCGCAAACATCTGGACTCAGTGCTACGGCAACTCCAGACCGAAATCTTCCGAGGGTCTCAAACTCTCTATGTGCCCAATTGTGACCATCGGGGCTTCTACCGGAAGCGGCAGGTGAGGCCACTCCTCTCTCCCCCTTGGTCCATCAGTACAAGGCTCCTGCCAGGGGTGGGCGGGGGGCTTATACGGTTGCATAAATAAGACACTGTCCCTGCCTTTAAGGATCTCCCAACTTCAGAGCCCACACAAACAGAATAACCAACCACACACTATAGCAGAGGAGTTAGACTGCCAAGGAATGCCTAACTCAGAGGGACACAAGTGTGAAGTGCATCAGGGTCACCTAGAGCTGTGAGTGCACAGGTGGCTGAGCCCCACCAGCAGAGCCTGAGAATTTGCATCTCTAACTCCGTCCCAAGTGATGCTGTTGGTTTGGGAGCCACACTTTGAGAACTGCTGTTCTGGCCAGAAGAACAGGCACAATTTTGTGGGTGGAGAAGAAGAGAAGCAAGGGAAGAAGGGAACCCAGCAGGACTCATGGTCCTGAGAACTCTTAGCTGTTTCCGCACACTCAGACTCAGGAGTCCACAGCCCATCCCCAACCCACCGGACCCCCCCACCTCTCCTGTTGGAGCCTTGGCCTCACCTCTGATCTGTGTGCCTCTCTCCCCAGTGCCGCTCCTCCCAGGGGCAGCGCCGTGGGCCCTGCTGGTGCGTGGACCGGATGGGCCAGCCCCTGCCAGCATCCGCGGACAGCAATGGCGGCTCCCCCTGCTCCGCAGGGAGCAGTGGCTAAGGCTGGGTGGGGTCCTGCAGGGCCACTGGCAGGAGCCTGGAGCTGTCATCTTGGGTCATTCGTTGAGTGATGAGTAACTCAGTCCCACACGCCACCTTCAGGCCCTGCTCCATTGCCCCCCTTATCCCTGAGACATCACACATGGAAAAGTTGTTGGTGTTGGCTTGGAGTGTTAATAAAGCTGTTTTGGGGGGCTCTGGTCTATGTCTCTGTGTCCACTTCTCACATTTCTGGAGCCCCTGGCCCTTCTCCCCGCCCCCCTTTACAGCCCTCCAATAGCTGTTCGCCTCTCCTGTGGACTGACTACCTTTGGTCCTTCCCACTGCTCTTGGAATGAAGGAGGCAGCCATTGGCAGAGGCTTCAAGCCCTGAAGCCTCACCCAGCTACCCACCAGGGAGCCGGGGGCGGAGACAGAGGTGGGGAGACACTGAGCTCGCAGCCTTGGTATGAGGTTGTGATCTTGTTTCTAAGTGATCTTTGGACACAGGGGAGAGGAAGAATTAATAGTTAATCCCCAGCAGGAACCTAACAAAGAGGAACTCTCAAAGTACCTACCCTTCTGCTGCATCCTACTAAAAAGGAGATGACATTATTATTTATTGAGCTCCCCTCATGGGCTGGGCCCTGGACCATGTGCTTTTACCTGGATTCCCTCTTTTTGTGCTTATAGTAATTTTGTGAGGAAGGGACTTTTGCCCCTGTTTTTCGGAGGAGGAAACTGTGGCTTAAAATATTTGGGTCACTAGCCTGAAATTACACAGCCAGGAAATGATGGAGGGAGGATTTCTATCTAGTTCTTCCACATGTGACAATGCCTGGCATTCCTTAGGTGCTAAATATGTGTCTACTTTGCCTACCTGCTAACCCAAGCCAGCCGGGAAGAGCTTCACTAGCCTGAAATTACACAGCCAGGAAATGATGGAGGGAGGATTTCTATCTAGTTCTTCCACATGTGACAATGCCTGGCATTCCTTAGGTGCTAAATATGTGTCTACTTTGCCTACCTGCTAACCCAAGCCAGTGTGGGGAAGAGCTGACATTCAGGGACAGGGCACCTAGCACTTCCTAGAGGGGCCACAGCTCCACAACTGTCACAGGTGTCAACTCCATCAGAACATTAATCACCGGCATACAATGCTTTCAAGTTGACAAGGTCCTTTCACACACCTTATCTCACGGTCTAAGGGAGCTGAGTGTACTGATAACTGAAGAGGTTTCTGACTCCGCCCCGACCTTCAGCCTGCTGGAAGGTGAGCCATGCTAGGCGATAAGCCTCAAAGAGGCAAAGTCCCCCTTCCCACCACATGCACAGTCACTACTCCCGCGGGAGGGAGCGCACACTTGCTCAGAGCTGGGCATCTGGCGGGTGGTTGGGCTGTTGCGCGGTTGCACCCAGTCCATCCCTGCGACAGCCCACAGAGCCTGGAGCTGAGAAGCTCTGCCCCCCGATCAGATACCCTGTCATCTGGAGGCCCCCCTCCTGAGAGGACTTTCGTCTTTGGAGCTGTCGCTGAGCTGAGAGATGGGAGCTCAGCGGGTTGGCAGGCAGTGAAGGGAAGGAAGGAACATGGCAGAGGCCACCTGCTGCCCAGACAAGGCTGACATCATGGAGCCAAAGGCAGTCCGCTCTCGGAGGAGAGCGGGGTCGAAAAGAGAGCAAGAGGACCGACGCTCCGGAGGAGGTGAGCCACCCTCTGGGAGTGAGAAAGCTCAGGTCGGGTTGGAAGTGAGGATACCCTGTTGAGAGGGGGCTCCTCCTCTCTACCTGGAACCCCTCCAGCTGCCCTGGGAAGGCAGACTCCGGCCTCTGCCCCTAACCACCCAGCTGAAAGATGGAAGCAGAAAAGGGGCATTCAGAGCTGTGGCCTTGCCTCATCTTTCTGACTCTCCAACCTCAGAGGGTAAACAGAGAGACTTCCTGTTCCCTGAGAAGCCTGTTTCCAGTAAAGTCATCAGGCTCCCTGCTTACCAATGGCCTCCTCACCCTCGACAAAATAACTTCCTCTTCTGATTGCCGCACCCATGATGCTAGATATCTTCTGGTTGAGGGGCTGGGCGGCTGCTGAGCACACAGAAAGCACTTCCTGGCAGAGGATGCCTCTGGGCTCACCCCAGCCAGCAGAACCCTAACCCTTCCCCTTTGGGTGTGCCCTTTGACCCCTCCTTTTAGGAAATGCTGAGGCGCTTGGAGGCCCTGACTTGGTGCAATGGACACAACATATGGAGGTGAGGGACCTCAGAGGTCAGAGGTCAAGATGAGCAGGTCTTAAAGTGGAGGGCAGTAGGGGAGAGGACCAGGTTAGTGATAAAGACAATTTGATCTTGGGTTCAAACCCCTCAGATCAGGTAAGAGCTAAGGGTTAAGGTGAAGGGGTTTGAAACACAGGTCATCAGGGCAGGAGACAAAAGTCAGCCCATGAACAGTCTTCTGTTAGTGGGGCTAGAAGTCAGGAGAGGGAAAGCTGGGGTCAGGGAGAAGAGAGTCAAGTCAGAGATGACAAGGCAGTTGTCACTGCTGCCGTTTCTCCTTGATCATCACTGCGGCCCTGGGAAGCCCAAGGGGAACTTGTGGGCAGGAACTGTGTTTTCTCTCCCTAGCACTTGTGCACATAGAGAGCTCAGTAAATGTTGAGTGAATGAGAGGATGGCAAACCAGTTGGAGGGACAGTGGGCCCTGCTTTGTCCCGTAGGCTGTGAAGGCGCAGCTGCTGGAGCAAGCACAGAGACAGCTGCTGGAGCTGCTGGACCGCGCCATGTCAGAGGCTGTACAATCCTACCCACCACAAGGCAGACCTCTGCCCACTATTCCTCCAGATTCCCCGAACAAGTAAGAGTCTGAGGAGCCAGGGTCTGATGAATGGCTGGACCAGGCTCCACCATTGTAAGATTGTAAGCCATAAACATCACCTCATGTGCCCTTTGCCAGCGCTGGCGTGACCCTCACCTCAACCTTCCCCCTTCTCCTTTTATTGCCTCTGCCTTTCTGGCTCTGACCTCCACCTGCAGCCATGCTCTGCCCTGGCCCTGATTTCTGCCTGATCCTGCCCTCTGGCCCTAGTCTTGACCTTCTGCTGCTACTACTCCTCTTGGCTCCCAAGTATTGAACTTCTGCAAGGCCCTCTGCCCACTACCTTCTTCCTTTGGCTCCTGACTCAGATCAACTCTCTCAATTCAGAATCCAGGAGACACCCCTGAAGAAACGGAAAGTTTTTATCAACCGCAAGTCCCTGCTTGAGTAAGTTAAGGGAGAGGACAGGGTGGGAGGAAAAGGAAATGCTTTGGTTAGGGGTCCACCTCAGTTCTCATCCACAGGCTCTAGATGGTTTGGGAGAGGACCTGGAAAGGGTTTTTAAGGTTCGGTTCCCCCACTTGTCCTGTGTGGAAGTGTGGAAGAAAGGCCACCAGGATATGTGGTGTCTGGGCAAAAAAGGGCTTTGGGCAGATGCCCCAGTCACATCCCAGCCCTCACAATTTCCAATCAGTAGGCTCCATCCTCACATGTGTACGGTGCCTGAGCCAGTCCACATGACCTTGAGGACCCTTCCGCACTGACATCCAGGGCCCTCTCCCTCCAGTGAACTGATGGAGGTGCAGCACTTCCGGACCATCTACCACATGTTCATCGCCGGCCTGTGTGTCTTCATTATCAGCACCCTGGCCATCGACTTCATTGACGAGGGCAGGTAGGCCCCTCTCCTGCCCGGGATAGGCACGCAGATCAGATCAGACCCCTTGGGTCCCCAGGGTTCCACCAACTATTGGCCAGAGAGGGCACAGGTTCCCCTTTGATTATTGCACACACATGGGTGTTGCTTCCAACAATATTCCCACCTAAAACACACTCTTAGCTTCTTCCTTTCACAGCCTTGGATGGCCCTCAGTCTGTCCTCCCAGGATCAGCCATTCTGGGAACAGCCACTCATATACTTCTCAATAGGAGCCTTGTCTGGAGGCAGATATACATATGTGTGTGCACACATACACACTTCCCCTCCCCTCTCCTTTCCAAGTCAGTGCTGTTCAGTTCAAGTAACCTCCTGTGAGCATCCTCCAAGGACCGGCCCTGGGGGCCAGAGAGATGAGGGGCAGACCTCATCCCTGTCTATGAGGCACTCCCAATCTTGTGGGGAAGACAGACAGCCACACAAGTGCCTTGGTGGGTTGTTTCCCCCAGAGACCACCCTGACACACACTCTGGGGGATGAGCTTCAGAAGACTGTACACCCCTGGGGTCTGTATTTGCAGGCTCTCCCCGCCTCTCCCCACTAAGTAGGGCTTAGGAAGCAATAAAAGGAAGAGGACCAAGGATCTGCAAGTTCAGCAACAGCACTTCCTTTTGGTAAATTGTTGCTAATTATAAATATTTTAAGGATCAAATCTCAGTAAAAAATTCAAATACTTGTAAAGTTACAGTCCTTCTTGACAACTCCCCTCAATCCCAGAATGCTTCCCAGAAGTAACATTTTCAACATTTTTGAGAGTTTCCCTCCAGAGTGGTTTCCACCCATCCTATATAATAAAAGGCCAGCCACCATAAGCATAACGACTGGAACAACCAGAGACCAGAACCACCACAGCCCCTCGCGGGGCTCCCCAACGCCAAACAAGCAGTTAGGGGCGATCAGGCAGGCAGGCAGAGTGGTTAGGGGTGATCAGGTAGGCAGGCAAGTGGTTAGGGGTGATCAGGCAGGCAGACCAGCAGTTAGGGGGGATCAGGTAGGCAGACCAGCAGTTCCGGATCTGGCCCGCGGGCAGTAGTTTGCCCACAGCTGGGTTAGGGGCTATCAGGTAGGCAGATGGCCCCTCACAGGGCTGGTCCCGCCCCCCAGCAAAGAAAGAGGGAGGCCCAGGCCACCGGTGGTGGTGGCAGTGACTCTGTGGCAGGCAAGCAGCCAGCCTGTGATTGCCCCGCAGAAGGAGGCCCAGGCCAGCCAAGCCATCGCACCCCACGCCTGTCGCCTGCAGAGGGAGGCCACTGGTGGCAGTGGGGGAGGGAGGCAGTGCTGCACAGATGGTAAGCAGTGGCAGCAGCAGGGGTGGGGCCAGCTGCCTGCAGCCCGGGGAAGGAAAGCCCCAATAGGCCCTGATCTCAGGCCAGGCCTAAGGACCCTACCCGAGGGGTCCTGGATTGTGAGAGGGTGCAGGCTGGGCTGAGGGACACCCCCCACACCCAGTGTACGAATTTTCATGTACTGTGCCTCTAGT